ACTCCTAGTCATTTCAAATATGTTTACAGTCACATAGGAATTTTTCTGTAATCAGAGTTCCAAATTAACTGAGTTGGGGCATCAGTGGTGTGTGGATGGGGATGTGTTTGTTTTCTTTTCTCTGGGGTTTTTCAGCCTGGTGCTTAAGAACAAAATCCCCTTTGGAAAGAATCCAGCACCCAGCGGTTGTGCTTTGTCTTGCCAATTAAGATTTCTGATTGGGGGCTTGATTTGGAATCCTTGGGAAAAGCTTTGTTTCCATTAGTCAAAGGAAAAAAGACAGAAAATGCAGGGAAGACATTGTAGGTCATACCTTGCTCAGTGGGGATGCTGAAGCTCACAATAGAATAACATTTCCACTGGTTCAGAGAAGAGAGCCTCGCTCATACTCTCAGCTCCTAAGTGGGGCATTGCAATAGGGGAGAGCTGTGAGGACAGAGATCAAAAGAACAAAACTGGTACAGAAAAATTATTTTAAAAACACTGTGCCAAGTGTGAGCTAGAGTGGTAATATATACTGCTTCCAAACAAACAGCCAGTAGTCCTTTGGAAAAATAGAATTCCAGTTGTTAGAGGTGCCGCATTTGTAACTGCACTGAAATTAGTGCTGGATACAGACATGACGTAAAGAACAGAAAAGCAAAATCTAACTTTTGTTGACTTTTAAGAATAATTCCTACTCTATTTCTTTATTATTTGGATCCATTGAAATGTAGGTGTTAAACAGACTCCGTGTTTTGAGTCTGTTCTCAATAGCAAAATAGAGATGGAAATAACATACCAGTGAACTGAGGAAGGCCAACCCGCACCCATCCCGGGCGGGTGGTTTCTTGTGGTACCAGAAAAATCTTTTTTTTCCCACCCTATGAAATTCTCCAAGATTCTCTAAGACCACTAGCATTCCTAGGAAATGTCTCAGATTTTGCCACAGAGATATGTTTTTAGACAGTGAACGGTAAGAACATTTATTAATTTAGTTATTGGAATGTGTTATCTCAGTCTGCCAGAATTATCTCATAATGTGACAAAAGCCAGCTTCGTCCTGGTTCCCTGTTGACTCTCTGCTCTGGTTGATTCCTAATAAGTATTCGTTGTGTAATAATTGACTAAATCTAGTATTAGTCACCCTGGCTGTCAAGACAAATGGAACCATCAGAAAATCTCAGGGCACACATAAGAGGTACCTGTCAGATTTCTGGTTTTTTTATTGGGAAAATTTGGGATCTTTTTGGAAAACCAGTTTTTGACTCCAGATCACATGAGGAAAGGAAGACGTAATTGTGGCTTCTTACGCTTAAAGTTTTTATCTAACCATGAGAAGAAAGTCTGCTGCTTTTCTTCGGAATATCACTCTCCATTGCAGACATTTTATTATGTCTAAATTTGAAGTTGGGGGGATGAGGGAGGGATAGGGAGAGGTTGGTTAATGGATACAGATTTACATCTAGACAGGAAGAATAAGTTCTAGTGTTCTGTAGTAGTGCTAGGTGTCTATAATTAACAATATTGTGTCTTCAAGTGGCTAGAAAAATGCAAATGTTTTCAACACAAAGAAATGATAAATATTTGCAGTGACGAACATGCTCGTTACCCTGTTATGAGCAATGCATTGTATACATGTATCAAAATATCACTCTGTGCCCCATAAATATATACAACTTAAAATATATATATTTAAAAATTTTTTAATTGACAAAAAACTAGTGAATGTATATATAACGTAATGTAGAGCACCATTACATTGTCAGAACTTAGGTTTTTGGCTTGGGGATGGGGGTAGAGAGCCGAGGGGAACAGAAGAAATTATGATGTCTGTGCATTTCTACACCAAAAATACGTTACTCGCCGTAAGCACTAACAACTGTGCTGCATTATTGTGCAGTCTCTCACAAGCCAGTGCTTCTACCACTTTCAAAATAAAGAGCATTATTTTGCATTTGCTGTCCAGAGGGAGAGTAATATTCTTCTTTGATATTCCCTGCTGGTTATCTAAGGAGGCTTCCTGCACTGAGTATTCAGTGTTGCTCTCTCTGGCTGCCCTTGTCACTGCAAATGTCTTGTCTTCAGACTTTATTTTCTGTCCTTCACTTTGAGTCCTACTAAATCCTCTTTAATTCATAAGAGCTCTTGGCTCTCAAAATGAAATGTCTTGTTTTTTTCTATGTAATTGGACAATAGTAAGATTTATTTTTTAAGTTTAATACTTTAATGCAAATGTGGGAATGACAAATGTCTTGAAAGAGCCGCGATGGGTTATAGCCCAGTCAATATGTGCAAGCTGAAATGTTTTTCCATTTTCATGTGTGCATCCTGCAATGTATTTGAAGCTCATCAAAATATGTTTTCACCCTTTTATTATTGTACTCATGTTTATTCTGCTTTGTTTCTGTGCCTCTTCTATGTAGATTAAACAGGTCTGTGAGTCTTCTCAATGCATGCAAACTGAATAGATCAACACCAAGGTGAGGAGAACTTAGATCTGTTTTATAACCCTAGGTGTTCCTTTAGTAGTTTTACCTCCATCTTAACACAGTAGTTTGAAGGTCTTATCCAGACCCTACCATTTATCAAGTCTTAAGTCATGTAACTGTATTAGTTATTGACAATTATTGGTTTCTTAGATGCTCAACAAGTTTTCCAAAATGATTGCACTTCGGTATTTCATAAATTGTAGGTGGTCTTAATTAGGTGGCCCAGTAGAGTGAGCACAGACTATAATCTCAGACAGTTGCATCATATCGCTGAATCTGTTTCCTCCTCTGTAAAATTAGAATGATAATATTCTTGCAGGGGATGTGTGAGGTTTAAATTAAATAATATATGCAAAATGCACAGTACTCGATGTACTCAATAACTATTGCTGCTGTGGCTGTTCCCAGCAGTAGACCCCCTGTTAGCTCTTCTAGCCACTAGGCTGAGTGTTAATTATTAGGAAACTGGTTAGTGTTTGCTACAGGTAACTAATAGTCATGGTTTTTCAGCTCTTTAAGGGTGTTTCATACAATTCTGTAAGTTGCCGTGAACTCGCCTTGAACTCCCACAAGGCCGCCGCAGAGGCAGTGCTCAGGGCTGATTTCTGCTGCTGCAGAATCTCCCAGGGCTCTACTGCTGCTTGGGCAGAGTGTGCTTCAGAGCCTTGTACTAGATACTTGGCAGAGGATAATCCCACTAAATTAAATTAGCATAGTGTTTTTTGTCATTGGAACATCTTGAACTTTAAGCACAAAGGTTTCTATAATTTTTAGACTTCAATCCCAAATTTCAGAAATGTATTGCTCTCCTAAGATCTATAATTTCCTTGTCCCCAAATTGAGCATTCTAAAAACTCGCATCTGGACTTTCAGGCACACACATGCAGACTCCAGTTGTAAGATTCTAGTTACCAAAAAGACTATCCAGAAAGTGTGTTAAAATAAAATGTCTTTTTATGGTCATTTTATTTACGTTTGCTCACTCATAGAGTGACGTGATTTTTCAAAAGCCAACACATCATATTTTTTTTATTGTTATAAATCATATTTATTCTTTATGCCCCTTGTCCAATCTCTCCCCATTCCCCTCTCCTTCTCCCCTTCCCCGTCTAATTACCCTAGATTTCTTTTCTCCTTCTGAAAGAGTAATGGTTACTTTGCTGATTTGTTGCCTAGATGATCTGTCCAATGCTGAGAGGTGTGTTCAGTTTCCCCAATATTATCGTAGAGGAGATGCTTCTTCTGTCACTCTGGAATGGGCTTTGTGAGGAGAGACGTCCTCTTCTTTTCTTTGGTCTCTGATGGTGACTCTCCTTGTGTCAATGCACTCCAGTGGCTGATGGACCATGTGCCTGGTGGTTGTGGTGTCTAGACACTTTCATGGCAGCCGAGGTTACTGTGGTGGCTGTGGTGGGCCACCCACATGGAGGTGATGTTTTTGACATGCTCCTTGGTGCTGGCAGTGTGCCTGGTTGTAGGGAGGGGGGGTCTGGTCCCTGGCTCTGTGCCTCAGGACCATTTATTAATTTAGTTATTGGAATGTGTA